AATCATTATAATCGGACGCGGGATTTGTGTTAAAAACTTGCACTTTCAACAACGAAAACAAAAAAAACTTCGACTTTGATTCATCTGCACTTATCATCCCAGACTTTTCAGAAATTTTCGAGCACCTGAGTCTAAATTCAAGCGTTTTTAAATCCTTGAAAACAAAAATTTAATGCAAGGACTTTCACGGACCGCGGGATTTCTGGTATTTTCAGACAAAAATGCCCAGTGAGAAAATAAAATATCGATGAAAATACCTCGAACTTGAAGGTTATAACAACTTACTATATGGCAGGACAGTCTTGAGGTAAATCCGAGCATCCTGATTAGTTCTTATTTGGTTCGCGATAGCCGAGAAAATAAAATGAAAGACGTTTTCCCGAATGCCCTGACATAATACTGAGTGTCATCGCTTGTTTGAGCTGTATTGGGAAATATTGGCCCTCGGTCGTTTCTGTACGGACCTCGCTGCACTCGCTCCGTACTACCACGATATTAGGCCAATAATCCTCAGTAGCGCCCTCACGCTTGGTTAGTAAGAAGTTATTCTTTGTGGTAACTGCTCATTTGTATTCCTTTGCACAGCCTCTGTAATTAAGAAGGCTGACACATTAAGTCTCTGTAAGCAAACACCAATTTAAAGAAAATCCGGAACGACGTGCCGCGCCAATTTGACAGTTTGACCAGACCGGTTCTTTGCAATATTTTGGAAATCTTCCCCGAAATGATAATTTTTATCAACGAAAACCTGAAAAAAGGGTTAGCTAGAATTTTTCTCAAAAATTCCTTTTACGCTCTCCTTTATCCATCGCCTAAAAGACAGTGATGCGCGGAACAGGTGATCTAGTCAGATTGCTGGAAATTGTGTTAAGAATTGGTGCTCGATCTAAACTTAAATTTATTTCAGCCTCAACATCGGTATTGCTGACAGTCTTAAGTTGTTCAGAAATGACTTTACGGGCGCGAAATTAGCCGAAATAGTATTAGCTGAAGTATCAAAAGAATTACCCTTTTCTCCACCTAGTTGTTTTAATTTGCAAACAGTTTCCAGCCCAACCAATTTCCGTGAGTTTTGTAACATAAACTCTCAATTTGAGAAGAACGTTCTTAGTTCGGCTAAGATTCTTGTATGTAGTAGAGATTTCAAATGGCACATCGTTTATCATACATTTATCCTCAGTTCCAGCTCGCCCTAACAATTTTTTTTTGTTTCAAGCTCCGTACTTGATATTCTTCTTCGATTTCAATCATTTTGTACTTTGCCTCTGTTTCGTCTTTACTCTGACTTTTGATCCTTTCCTAATCATTTTTCCATAGCGATTTGTTGTTTCGTGTTCTGCTTATGGGCTCGTCTAGGTAATTTCACTATTACATTCAACTCTGCATAAAATCCCCGCTGCGAAGTTAACAAGTTTCACAACAATGACTAACTACTAAGAAACTGAAAATTATCATATAAACTAGTTTGCTGAAAAAACGCTATTCATGGA